CCCCCCATGTTCTTTTATGTGACGTTTCAGTGTGTCAGGGTCTTGTCTAAGTGTTAGTCATTGACTTCCCATTTTATTTGATGGTCATTTGTCTCTTATGCTTTGTATTTAGTTTTACTTCCTGCGTCATTAATTCTGATGAGTCTCACCTGTTCAGTTGTTCCCTATTCCCCTGATTAGCTCTAATGTGTATAAATTAGTATGAAAAGCACAACATGTATTAGTATACATAATTTCAGTTATCCTTTGTTCTTTGTGACCTTGTCTGTTTTTCAGTCGGGATTTTGTTTGTTGCTTTTCTTCTGAATTTTTGTGGTGTTCTTGCTGGACTGTCACGAGTTGCTCTGAGGATCCACACGCAGGACTCCGGGGTTGTGATTTAACAGAGAAAGTTTTATTTACAATTTCTTCACCAAGTGTATTTATACACAGTGCGGAAATTGTGCTATTTACAAGACGTGAGGGGCGGGGTTCCAGGGAAAAAGGGAAATCACACACACACGTCCACGCCAACCTGTCTCCGCACTCCACACGGGGAAACACGTGGATGGGTCTGGGGAATCTAGAGACACAGAAACACACTTTAACGTCTGATATGTCGGCACGGGAAACTTAAGCTAGACTTGTACTAATGAGAGTCTTCACAACAATCCAGCATCAAACAGCAGACCTTCTCCCTCTTAAATACCCGCTGGTCTAATGAGACCCAGGTGTTCCCAATCCAGGAAGGCGTGGGCCGAGGGCGTGAACCCACCATGAGTTCCATGAGAGAGATAGATAACCATTCACACTCACATTCACACAAATGGGTATTTTGGAATCATCAATTAACCTAACCCCACTAATTGCACGTTTTGACTGTGGGAGGAATGCCGGAGTACCCAGAGAGGTTGAACTTCCACCTATAAAATTAAAAGTATTTTCTTTTGACTCACTTTGTCTGAGAATCTGCAGACAAAGTGACAAATAAATAAAATTAACCTGAGCAGGTTTAAAATAAAGCAAAGAAAGGAGAATCCCTTTATTAACTAAATAAAGTTAGATTTAAATGACTCTGCTTTTATCTACATAACTGTTTCCTAGTGTTAACATTACTGCACCTGGGTGTGGTCCTCTCTCAATGTAAGGCACGTCACATCTCCTGTAAAAATTAAATAAATGAGATACAATTGACATTTGCACATCCGTCAAGCAATGCTGTAAAAAAGGCTCTCAGCTGCTACTGTCAGGGTTGCTAAGCAACAGGAGCAGCGCGTCGTAGGCTAGACGATCTCAATTAAAGCAGCCTCGGAGAAGGATGCAGCCCCTGAATTGGGACACAGCTTTAGTACTCAAGGGCTCTGATGGATGTTATCTTCAGGTGTGATACATATATGTCTGCAGTTAGCTGGAAGATTTTGGTTTGACAAATATTTCAGTTACTGAAGCAACAATGTCTTCAGTTCAGCATTTGAGAGACTTTATCAGGGAGAGACTAACTGCTACAGCTGAAGACATCTCCTCTGAGGCTGAAAAAACGATGGTCCAGTATGAGGAGGAGATCAGCCGTCAGCGCAGACTGCTGGATATCAGCCGGAAACCCGAGACAAAGTTACACATGACAGGTATGTATAACTGCGATGATCATGTAGGACCCTGATCAGAGCTCAGTTTTAGGCTAATAGAGTAAAATCAAGGTGCAGCTAATATATACATACATACATACATACATACATACATACATACATACATACATACATACATACATACATACATACACACACACAAATGTAAACTTTTAGCATTAAACACTGAGTAAGGCGCAGAGAAAGTCACTTTTGAGGTTAAAATGTGAGACAAAACTTGTGCCACAGCTGGCTGACAGCTTGATCTCTCTGTCCCTTACCCTGTGTGTCCTGAGGCAGGAGTCCTCTGCTCCTCACCACCCATCTTCATCCTTTGAGATGTGTTTAGTGATCAAAATCACTGCCTAATCAGGGCCAAACTCCCTGCAAGACGACCCTGTGTCTCCCATTACTCTCGTCTCTTTTAAACAAACAAATCGATTCGACTTAAATGTAAGTTTTATTTTCAAAATTTACCCTGTTAAATAAGTGAAACTGCAATAGGTTTATGTGACCAAAAATAATCATGATTATGAATTTTGCTGTAAGCTTTTGCAGCAGCTTTAGCTCAGACTAAAATGATTCAGCTGTGTGGAGGAAATCTGGGGGAAAAAGCCCACTTCCAATGTCTTTGAGTCTTTCATTAAAGCTGCAGAAGGACCAGCATGAACAGACACACAAAGCATTTTGTGCAGGCTGGATAACGAAGAACTGCACTCTGAGAGACAGTTATTGAGTGAGCCTTCCTGATAAAGAAAGACCGACCTTGAGACTGAATGAAAAGAGCTACAATGAGCAAACTGGTTCAGACTGGCTGCATACTTACTTCCTGTACACATAAACTGTGGAAAATTACAAAGTAATAAATAATAATAATAAATAATATAAATATAAATAATATTTTGGAAGCTTCTATGGAGATGACCATATATCGCACCTCTTTCCTTAATATTAGTCATTTAGTTTGAGTCATAGTCATAAGTCTCATTACACGACATGACATCACACAGCTCTACACCTGAATCAGATTCATTATATGTTGATAAACCTCTTGAGCTGTAGCATCTCTTTGTTGAAGGGGTCCAAACAAAAATTCATGCACCAAATGATAAGAAAACAATACATACTATGCACAACTAACACAGAACGAATAAGACAAGCAAACAGAAAACAAAAGGTCACAAGACAAATAAATAAAATGATAGCTTTTTACAAAGCAACGATAAACAAATGAACACTGATGAACTTAATGAAAATATATGTAGTCTGGTTTGAGCGACAAAACATGTTTGAATAAGTAAAAAGCTAACATGGAGCAGAAATTTGAAATATTCAAATGTAGTATTTCACACAGAAAGAGCCAAAAAAATAAAATCTTTGGTCCAAACACCCTCAGATACAAAATGGACATTAATGATGAAACTACAGAGAGGAATTACAGTTTGTCCAAACATACACAAAAAGGGCTTGCAAACAAAAAACATTCATTACAACTAAAAATACAACAAATGTAGCTCATTTCCCAACACGGGACATGCAGGCTTTTAGATAGTACATAGATCAGCTTTGTAGACATCACTATAACATACTATAAAATACTTTATGCCCAAATGTCAGACTAGTTAGTCAAGTGTGGCTAATGTTATAAGTGCTAACAAGTAAGCCTACTTTTTTCACTGTAGATCCACACATCTTAATGTGGTTAAACATTACTCCTGTTTAGTTATATGCAGGACTGTACTGGGGCATAAATCAAGGCTATGAGCCTGAAATAACTCCACCCTGCTCCTTTAATACAAACTGTTAATTTCGCAAACTAACCATATTTGCTTTTTAGGGCTGTCACTATATCTGATTTTCTTCAGTTTACACAGTGTATTTGCTAGTTAAATGCATCACTGCTTTATTTCCCAGGGTGAGAATGTTTACTCAGAGACAGAGAAAGATGTAAGAACAAGACAGGTTGAATTCTGTTTCTGTGAAATGAACACTGACTTTGTGTTATTCAAATGTTTGGTAACTCATCTACAATGTGGGAAACAGTAAACAAGCAATTCAATTTATGTTGTTTTCCCATTGCTTGTTTTGTTTTCTACATAACAGATGAGTACTATTCTTCCATCCATCCACTTATCCGAAGTTGGGTCAGTAAGCTAAGCACACTTTTCCAGACATTCCTCTCCCCGCTTTCCAGTTTCACCTGAGGGATCCTGTGGAACTGGATCATCTAGCCTGCCAGGCAAGATGAGTAATTATTATCTCTCCAGCAGGTTTCTGGGCATCACCAGAAAACCTCAAAAGGGAGGTGTCCATGAGGCATCCTCGAACCATCTGAACTCACTCCTAATTTTAGAAATCACATTGAACAATCCACTAAAAAGTAATAACTGACTAAAGGCAACAAAATGCACCTCAGCAGGTCAATGTTATGATGGTGAGTTCACGGATGACATGAAGGCAGCTTCTTTATGACAGCAAACGAAGAAGATAACAAGCTTTGGTTTTCCAAGTATTTTCCAAGTATTCTACTTTATTGACTTACTGAGCATTTTCTTTTCTTTTCTTTTCTTTTTTAAGTTGTTGAAGCCAGGTCTGAAGATCCAGAACATTAAGATCACATGCAGTTGACTTCTAAACTGGAAACAAAAACTGACTTATGCAAACTGGAATTAATAGTATTGACTTTTGAAGCAAACAGGTCAGGTTTAATATTTTGAATGACATACCATACTGTTTTTAGTGTTTTCCTGTCATAACATTAGGAAGCGTTTTTCTTGTGTCCTTTTGTTCCTTCAGCAATCCCACAACAACATGAATGTAAGGAAGAGGAGGGTCTCCTCCAGCAGGTCTGCATCCCTGCTCAGGAGGACCCAGTGCATCCAGAGATTAAAGAGGAACCAGAGGAACTCTACACCAGTCAAGAGGGAGAGCACCTTATACTGAAAGAGGAGACTGATACCTTTATGGTGACTTCTACTTGTGAGGAAAGTGAACCAAACAGTGACCAGCTCCTTTCTCACAACTGTCCTGAACTGGAGAGCAGAGACGAGGAAGAAAGCACGTATGTGGACTCAGGATCGACTAGATGTGCAGATCTGTTGAGACATCAAATAGACAGAAGTCATATTAGCAGAGTAAATGACTCTCAGGCTTTAGACAGCCAGTGTAAAACTGATACAAGTAAAAAGTCTGTAAAATGTGACACTTGTGGAAAAGCCTTTCAGTGTAAATCCAACCTGACTAAACATCTGAGAACACACACAGGTGAAAAGCCACATTCCTGTAGCATCTGTGGAAAAGGATTTAGTCAGATGGCAAACTTGAAAACTCACATGAGAATTCACACGGGCGAGAAGCCACATTCTTGCAACACCTGTGGGAAGAGATTCAGTCACATGATAACTTTGAAAACTCACGTGCAAAATCACACAGGTGACAAGCCGCATTCTTGTAGCACCTGCGGGAAAAGATTCAGTCGTATGATACACTTGAAAACTCACATCAGAATTCATACAGGTGAGAGGCCGCATTCGTGTAGCACCTGTGGTAAAAGATTCAGTCA